TTAAAATAGTATAGCACTAGGCTTAGATAGAAAGAAGATCAATGGAATAGAACCAGTATCCGATAAGTGGTTCCAACATTTAATCAGCATGTAATAAAATATATTATCCCAAATAAAAGGAGGACAAGGTAAATTATTTAATAAATAGTACAGAAAGCAATGGTGAACTACTTCAGAAAAAAATTATTATAGCTCTTACTTATACATCAAAACATATTCATGAAGTATTAAAGAGTTGAATGTTAAAAATAGAGCCAAAGAATTAGAAAAAAATACAGACAGATATTCATCTAATCTCAGGGAGGCGGACTCCTTGCTAAACAAATGCCTAACAGATGAGCTATATAAGAAGAAATGGAGAGATTTCACACAGGACTATAAAGAAAGCAAATGACAAAATGCAATGGAAATGACAAATAAAGGTTTAAAAAGATTTATATACACACACACACACATACATATATATAAAGAGTTCTTAAAAAGTAGAACAATTCAAATTCTCCAAAGGAAACAGTAGACAAGTACAAAGAGTCAATCCACAAAATGAAGAGATATGCAACAGAAAATAAATCCATGTAAAGCTCTTCATTTTCATCAATAATCAAATTATCATAATTTATGTTACACAGTTCTTTGCCAACCTTGTGTGCCCTCCCCTTCCAAGGTATTGCTTGTAAAAATAACCTTGAGGGAAGTATACAGCTGGCAAAAACATAATGCATGTGTTATATGCACAAAAAACAATAAATTATCAATATGTTGTTTTCCTTCTATTAAACTGGCAAAAAATTTTAAAGTAATGATCCTTGTTATTGAGGGAATGAGAGAATAAGTACTTTCAGACAGTGCTGGTGACAATATGAAACACTACAACTTTTCTGAAGAGTAATGGAACACATAAGTTGAAAGTTTTTCTGTAAAGAGCGTATTTTTTTTACCCTATCATTTTACTCTTAGGCATACACCTTTAAGAAAATACCAACTAAAAAGCTGAATTTATAAAAACACAAAGTTATTTGTATTCAAGATGCTCTGCATAAACTTTTTTTTTTAATACTTTTATTGGGGGCTCTTACAACTCATCACAATTCATGCATTCATCCAGTGTGTCAAGCACATTTGCACATATGCCGCCATCATCATTTTCAAAGCATTCTCTTCCCACTTGAGCCCTGGATATCAGCTCCCATTTCTTCCTCCTCCCTACCCACCCTGCCATCCCTTACAAACCCTTGATAAGTTATACATTATTATTTCCATATCTTACATCATCCTCTGTTGCCCCTCACCCACTTTTCTGTTATTCATCCCCCTGGAAGGGGGTTATAGGTTGATCTTTCTGATTGATTTCCCCTTTCTCCCCCAATCCTCCCCTAATTCTCCTGGTATCTCTACTCTCCTTGTTGGCTCTGAGGGGTTTATCTATCCTGGATTTCCTGTGTTGCAGGCTCTTATCTGTAGCAGTGTGCATGCTCTGGTCTAATCCAATTTGTAAGGTAGAATTGAGGTCATGACAGTGGGGGGAAGGAAGCACCAAACAACTAGATGAAAGTTGTGTGCTTCATCGGTGCTATACTGCACCCTGGCTGGCTTATCTCTTCCCTGTGACCCCTCTGTGCTGTGAGGGGATGTCCAATTGTCTACAGCTGGGCATTGGGTCTCCACTCCATGCCCCACCCCCCAACTCATCTTGGGTATAGTTTTGTTCTGGGTCTTAGATACCTGATACCTGATCCCATCAACACCTCATGATCACACAGGCTGGTGTGCTTCATTGATTCTGAGCTAGATGGCCGCTTGTTTATCAAGCCCTTAAGACCCTGACGCTATATCTTTTGATAGCTGGGCACCATCAGCTTTCTTCACCACATTTGCTTATGTATCCATTTTGTCAAATAAACTTTTGAGAACTTGCTTTTATGCAATATTTTCTTCTAATAAAAAAAGCATTTTAGAAGATCCCTAAATATATCACTAATGAAAATAAACAAGAGTACAAAAGAAGAGTGTCTCAGTTATCTAGAGCTGCTATAACATAAACACCACAAATTGGGGGTGGGGGACTTTAACAGCCATCTCTCTCACAGATTAGGAGGCGAGAAGCTCAAATTCCGTACACCAGCTCTAAGGCTTTCTCTCTTTCTGGGTTCTGGGGGATGGTCCTTATTCCTTGGTTCCTTGATGACCGTATGCTATGATATCTATCTTGCCCCATCCATCTCTGCCTGCTCATTTAATCTCCGTTATATCTCATTTCAGAAACACTCTACATTAATCCTATGTCATTAGCATTCCAAAATAATGTTAAAATCACAGGCATGGAGGTTAGGATTTAAACACATATTTTGGGGAGGTACACAATTCAATCAATAACAAAGACAAAAAAGATGGTTCTAATGTAGTGGGTAAACATTTAGCATATATAGCCATAGGAAAAGTTTAAAGGCTACACAGTAAAATAGAAATAAAATTAAAGAATTATTTTTTTGCATTTTTTCTATATTCCTTATAATAAATATTTAGTTTTTAGAATGACAGAAAAGTGAAATAAAAATTATAGAATGCATGAAATATAATATTAAATACCAAACTCACTGCCATTGACTCAGAGCACCCCTATAGGACAGAGTAGAACTAACCCTGTGAGTTTCCAAGACTGTAATTCTTTACAGGAATAGAAAGCCCCATCAGATAATCCATATAGCACGTATCTTTGAGGATAGCATTTGAAGTACTTTAAATTTCCCAAACCAACATGACTAATCTAGGGATCTAGTACTGCCTAGTCTCATCTACACTGAAAATATGTGATGAATTTAAGCAGTTGATTAATTAAACTATTTTAATGTTACTTTAAAATTTTAAATTACAACACATTATTGCTATATTTTCTCTTGAATAAATATTAGGGAGTAAGAAGACAATGCAAAATAGCTCACAGGAGTAAATTTAGTACAAATCTTATCTTCTATGCTCATAAAATTCAGAATAACAGAAACACTGAAAGCATATAAAAGCTCCGGGGAAAAGAGTTGAAGATTTTGAAAGGTCTTATTTTGTATGCCTCAATTTTGAGATTTATATAGTTTGAGTTCTAAGATGAAGGAATTTTAAACTTTTTAATTCATAATTAAAATTAAAACTAAAGGAAGATGAGAAATGGGAAAAGAGGAGAGTCTAAAGCATAGAAATTTGATGCTGAATCATAACATAGTAAAATCTTAGCTTCTAAATTACTAGGGAAAAGTAAGAACACCCCACCACCACCCCCGCATCGTTCATGCTGGCAAAAACTTGCCTTTGCATAAACCACGTCTGTTCCCACTGTTATAAAACCAGTGACTTTGTAAAGGGAAAAAAACACAGAATGACGTGCAAAGTAGCACACACCATGTTATTGCAGCTGGATAGAGAATATGTCAGTGATGACTTTCTTTCTACCCGTTAGTTATAAGTTGAGTTTCTTTTTTTCCAAAATAGCAAATCGCCTGTATGAGTACAAAAGAGAAGCAGTGCAATTCAAAATAATATCCAATTCCCACTTGATTTGGACACTGTATTGGTTAATGGAATGTGTTATTAATTATTCATTGGCAAAGAGAAACTTCTCTTCATTGGCATGAAGTATAATATCCCTGAACACTGTGCAATTTTTTGTATTAAATTCAAAATAACATTTTATCAAATGAACCAAACCCATTGATGTACAGTCGATTATGAGTCATAGAGATCCTTCAGAACAGAGAACTGCTTACTAGGGCTTCCAAAATTGTCCATCTTTAGGAAAGTAAACTTTAGGGAACTGCCGCACCATTCTCAAATGGAATGGCTCTTGCCTTGTGAACCACAACCCTTCAGCTGGCAGCTGAGCGAGTGCTATCACCACCACGTATCAGCATCTCTTTTCATCAGAGTTACTGACACATTTTCATCTTAAATGAGATGCTAGCCACAGTTTAAGAGAAGGATTCACCCACAACTGTTCAATAAATTCAGAAAGCTACTATAATTAAGTTCCCAAATGATTGGTGCAAATCAGAATGATGAGTGATTGTGGATTTTGCTCATGGTATGAAGAAGCAGGAATAGAGTACTTCGTCTCCACAGAGGAAACAACGAGGGAGTGTGGTTAGGCAAGAAGTGTTACTTCTTGTTTGATACAATAACAAAATAGGAATGGGTTGCGAATGTAACTTCCTAACATGTTTCAAAATAGCGATACGAATCAAATATCTTCAAATTTAAAAATACTTATCTGCATCGCACTAAAAGGGCATGGAATGCTAGATCTCATGGAATCTGTTTGAGATTGATCAACCCATTTTCTTTGGACATACGAATAATAACAAAACCACTTGCATGAATGAGTACTTTCCTAAGTGACATGTAATATTTCAAGAGCTTGACCTGTATTAACTACTTCTATGACTTTATGAGATAGGTACTGTTAAAGACAAGAAATCTGAAATGCAGAAAAGTTCGATGAATAACCAAAGTTACTCGTGCAGTAAGTGGCCTAACTGAAATTTCAACCTAGCTATGCAAGACCCATAATTCATTATCTACTAGCAGACGAACATTCTGTAGACTTTTTTTAACTGCTACAGTTGGCCTCTTCAGATCAGATAAAATTGAAGTTAATGAACTGAATTTATAAATTAAGTTGTTATGATTTTTGAACAGGGAGCACTAAGATTATCTTTAATTTGCTATGTTTTAAGAGAATATATTTCTATTTTCATACTTTTATGCTTAAGTACATTAATAAAGCTGCTTACCCTGTAAATTATAAATTTCAAGATTAATAGGAAAAAGGTTAAACTCGTTCTGTAAACATTAGAAAGAATAAAAGTTCCAAAACACACTATAAATTTATCCTTTTGCATATAAACAAGTATTGGAGATAGGAATTTAGTGTTAAAGTACAGAAATGCAGCAACTATACTGTCATATAAAATAATATCTCTGCATAGCTATATTTGATATTTTTCATATTATACCTTTAATTTCTCCAAGAAGTTCACTGGTATTTAATCTCTCCATTTTTTCCTTCCAATCTTTTGAAAGTAGTTTTTCCATGCAGGAGGAATCTATTAAGATATAAAATATATGTACATTATATATGTAAATACATATGCAAATATATATTTTTAAAATACAAATACATTATTTTAATTATATTAAAATATGCTTATTCTTAATCTAAATACGCATTTAAAAGTGCACCATATTATTTTTTGGTGTTTTAACAGCAAATCCGCCCAGCCAAACTTACTGCTATTGAATTAATTCCAACTCACAGGAACTCTAGAGATATGACAGCATTTATGTGTAGCTCAAAATATTATAAATAATTTTACTTTTACCAGAGAATTCTTTAAATCATTGTCCAGGGAGGAAAAAGAAGTTAATATTCAATAATTGTATCTTGGTGTAAAAATTTCTTAGACTGATAGGACAGAAAATGAAGCTATCTTCCCTAGTTTTTAAAGTTTAAATGTTATTTATTTTAAACCAGGTAATTTTTTTAAGCCCAGCAAAATTTAAGTACTATTCAAGGAAAATGACAGTTCTTCAAGGGAGAAGAAGCCAAACAACCTGCAACCATCTAGTCCTTAAAAAGGAAGTGAACATATGAAAACATTCCCAAAATACCCATTTAGAGCAAAGCAGAGAAAAGATAGAGCCAAGATATCCACTGCTCCTTAGTAATGAAAGCTGCCAATGTTTAAATAAAAAGAGATGCCTAGTCTTATTAATGAAAATACTTTCTTAAATATGATTATTTGTTCTACTGCTTTTCTAAATGATATTCTAGATTATACAGAGTGATTACTTATTTTATAAGTATTCATAAAGGTTACAGAAATCCATACTTCAGAATATCTTAACAATTACGAAATTTTCCTCAATGAGTTATTTTTTTCTATTAAGATGTCTCAAGTATAGATACTGCCTATGACTATATGCTCAAATCTTTTGAGCCTGAAATCTAAACAAATAGACCATGTTTCCAAAAGAGAATGCAGATTTACATACTAAATCCCTGGTGTAAAGCATACTTCCATTAAACTTTAACATTCCAAGTGTCAGAATCCTGATAACCTCTTTTTAAAATTATATTTCAAATAGTCACTCCAATTCCAAATGCTTTTTCTCTCCCATATCAGTACGTATCTCCTTAGCATTTTCTCTTTTCTTTTTGTCCAGTGTCTTAATCCTTCTTGAATATTTCAGAATGACAGTAAGGTCAAGATGGATCTTAAGGGTTTTAGAAGCTAGATAAGCTTTAGAAACAGACAGTGAACCCTGGCTAAGAAATGAGGATGCTGCATGATTAGAAAGTATTGGTGAAAACAATTAACATGTGTGCATGACATGATCAATCACCCAAGGACTGGATGGAATCCAGATCGCCGTGTCTTTAAATGGCTGACGAAGAGCAAGCATACTAGCAACCAATGGCAGGAGTTTACGCTGTTTGGATTTTTTCTCCCCTAAATAGGAGACAGCTTGATTCTATTAAATAAAGGTACTCCGGCCCTGTCTACACTTCTTTCTTTCTGTACATCCTTCTTTCTTCTTCCTCCTACTATAAAACATTTCTTAGACTCCAACAAATAATTTACCACTGTGGTTAAAAGTTGGATTGTGAATGATCTTCCAATGGGCCTACGTTCAGGTTGTTGTAATTGACAAAGTGACGTCTTAACTTTATGTAAAATTCATAACTGAAGAGTACGCTGTGTTCTATGTGCATCTCGGTTCTTTGCTAAAGTCATGAAAAAGATAATACTAAGTTTGAGAGTGAAGAAGCAAATCTCAAAGTCAGGTCTGTAAGAGATTACTTTTTTTCATAAATAGGATTTGAATTTCTGAGAGAAATGTATACAACAAATTGTATTGTACCTAATCTGGTTACTTTTTCTCTACTTTTGCATGTTATAACATTACATTACTGATAGAAGCAATAGAGCATAACGTCTGTTTAAAATTTAAGATGAAAGTATATATAATAATGGCAAAAGACAAATGCCCAACTTATTAGTAATAATCCCAAATTCAGAGTAAGTTCATAAACTAGAATTAGATACACACATGGATATAAGATAGCCTAAAATATGCCTCTTGGTTCTATAAATAGGCCTGAAATCTTTCAGCACTCCAGGAAAAGAATGCCGAAACTTCATGGGAGAAAAATAGAACTATATAGACAACAAGAACACATATTTCAAACATAAATCAAGCCATGTGGATAGAGCTTTACATAAAAGCCATTCATTATTAAGATGGCTAATAAGTTCAAAGCAAAATATATTCATATTAGAAAATGAATCATTAACATAATGCTGAGCTCATCTAGCTGTAAGGGTTCCCATTTCAGTGGAAGAAATTGAGGAGAGAAAATAAAGCAGTCTTTTGCCTGTCTATCTTTGTAGCCCATGAAAATACCTCATAATAGTCACTGTCTTCATTCAGAGGACAACCGAAGTCACTCTATACCACTTTGTCTATGCTTAATCTCAGCTCTAGAAGGTTCCAGGAAGTCAAAATTGGGAAGAAGTCTTTCTCGAAGACTCTTGGGGATTTTTTCTCCACCAAAATATGTGCCTGCCAAATCTCTCAGGGCATGCCACAGTTAGAGCCTGCAGTCTCTGTGTGGTAATGTACAGCAAGGGAGGTGAGAGGGAAAAGGACCAGAAAAGGCAAATTGTGGGTAAAAACCATTTTGGGAGAGGATGCTGCTGCCCCACAGAGAGGAGTCTAACTTGAAACGCAACGCAACTCAAGATGTCAGTCAGCGAGTGCATTCGCACTCACAATGAGTACAAGACACTTCCATCGGCTCTTGAGTCACTTTATAGAAATAAACATGTCGTCTTATTTGGCTAGAAAACAACAGATCCAGTTTGGAGGTAGCATAACCTTCAAAACAATGAAACAGTATACAGTCTATTTCATTATGAGGTTGATAAGAAGTTTTGTTTTCCTTAACTGACAGTACTGCAGTACCGTCCGCAGCTGAAAGACAGGAGAGGAACTACATGGTCTTTGGAAATTGAAATTTTATAAAAGCACATCTCTAGCATAAAATTGAAGATATAAACATAATGAATGCAAGTCAGATCATTTCAGTACTAAAATGAATTCCTGTCATTAAAAAGAAAGTTTCCATAAGCCAATGAAAAGGAATAAATATATATATATACATAAACACATATATAAATACATATCTAGTTTTTGTAAATAATCAAAAGATGGTTACTTCTCAGTTGCAAGAGTTTTTCCTCTCAGTGCAAATAAATATTTCCTCTTCCAATAAAATTTTTTCTAAGGAAAAATACAACTGAAAACTAATTTTTAAAAATAAGTTTTAAGGTTTCCTTGAAAAAACAATGTTTTTTCCATGAAAAAAAACCTAGGTTTCAAATGAGGTAAGTCGGCAATGCCTAATCACAGCTTGGTAATGTTTGGTTGATAATTTCACAGTACCAGAGAAATTTGAAATGAAGTTATTTGAGATATTTATTCTCTAGTGTCCACAAAATATTTTAGTAGCAAGTTTAAATTACTCTTAGTTAAACAAAGCTTCAGCAATCTTAAATCCTGTTCTGCACACAATAAAGATATTTCAAATGGATATAAGAGAGTAAATAAAGGAGTTATGATGAAAATTAAAGCATGGTGGAGGTGGAAAGATAATAAAATCTTTATTGTACTTTAAGAAAATTTCCCTGTGAGTAAACACTTATTGTTATTCTTTTCATTTCAAAGAGATATTTAAAGTTAAATTCATCAAAACACATTAGATTCATGACATATAAAATCTCTTTAAATTATTCTAATGAGGAAAAGAAATGACTACTACCCCATACATGCAGACTTCCTATGGCTTTATTAACGCTTAAAAAATCATTAAAGCAAGTCCACTGGTATTTTTATCATAGAAATAAAATTTTTAATGCAATACATTTTCCATATGTCCAAGAACAATGGCTTGTTAAAAATACCTAGGTTCTTCATCTACAACCTCTACTGACAATCTATGCTTGATTATTGCTGATCACACACCCAACATTTTGTACTAGGAAACAGAGATTACACATGACAGTTACTGTACATTTTTCCACAGTGACAAGTGTTCCACAAGACAGTGGGATAAAATTGGAGCTTGGAGAGCTTGAAGAGCACTCTCAAATTTTAATTAAAACCCTCCAAACTCACTAAAAATAATTAGACACTAAAATGTGCCAGTTTTATTTTGAAGTCACTATAATGTAGGAAGCACACTCCCTGGCGCCTACTCCTGTGCTTTCTTTTCCCTTTCTCTCTCTCTCTCACCCCTGCTCTCTCTCTCACTCTCTTCTCCTCTCTCTCTCTCTCTCTCTCTCACTCTCTCTCACCCCTGCGCTCTCTGTTCTCACTCTCTTCTCCTCTCTCTCTCTCTCACCCCTGCTCTCTCTGTTCTCACTCTCTTCTCCTCTCTCTCTCTCTCAC